AAATATACTATGTTTACGTAGTGTATAAAGAACGAAAGAGTGTGTTTTATCTTTATACTACTTTTAGAACTTTAACATCCAGAAATCGTTATCATTTTAGAAAAAAAAGCTAAAAAATGCGAAAACAGTGATAATGCATATTAAACTTCTACTGAGCATGTGCATTTGCCACAATTGAAAGAATTTTGAAACCACACGTAAGAACGGCTAGTCTATGCTATACTGCATATCTGCACATTGATTCAAACTGATTTAAAACCTAGCAAAGGTCTATGATGCGACATTAAAACTGAGACTTTTGCTGGTGTTGGGTTACGATAAAGCGCTGATGACCTTGAACATCAGTTCTTTATATCTGATATAGAACTGATTAATAAAACATCACTGCTTTATCGGGATATAAAGGTCCATCATGTGACCAAATAGTTCGATATTCATTGGACTAATAGCTCATGAATTATTAATGAGTTCTAGAAGAAGAAGTAGCCTACTATATTTGAAACTTGTTGGCTATTTCAATCTAAGAGTGCTTTCAGTCAAAGCGTGAAACACTATTTACTCAACTGTACAAAATAGTGCTAGTTCAACAAAAGAAAACAAAAGAATTATCATAAAATAGTACAAAATAGTTATTACTAATGTTTCACGGTTTTACTAAAAGCACTCTATTATATCTATGAAATAAACGTATGAAGTTATCTTTTAGCCAAATTAGTGCAAAATCCTTCGAATTTTGTTATTTTTAAATTTAGTGCTATTTTGCGCATTTTGTTTTACAAAATATTTCAAGGATATTTTGAATACACTCWAGTGGTAAATTCTACCGAATCATTATTACATAAAAGCCATATTGCACTTTTCTGATTCGTACGTTGTCACCTTTCTAGTGTTTTGCTAGCAGCTTATTGCTCTTAGGAGTTATTATCATTTATTCAGTTGATATAGATTAGCGGCCCGAGCTCTTAAATGACCGTATAAATGATATACAATTCGTTAAAGCGCTCAGCAGCTGTAAGTGATAGTCCAATGATATCATTCGGTAAATCTGCTAATATGCGTATATGTGCTATCTAAAATATGATAAAGGCCGACATATGTTCATTCTAGTCGATACTTCCGATATATGTAGTATCAGGCTAGTAACGAGGTCTTGGGATCAGGGATCAGTGTCATTTTTTGGACGATTTTGGGATCAGGGATCAGGATTTAGGTTCAGGATCCAGATCAAATGGATTTAACCTGGGATCAAAGGTTTTTCATTTGGGATCGGGATCAATGATATTTTTCAACGATTCTGTAAGGGGATCACGGCTCAAAATGTACGGAGTTTTGGGATCGGGATCACGTTTTTAGGCCGTTTTGATCCGGATCAACAGCAAAAAAATATACCTCGTTACTAGCCTGTAGTATGATATATCTCAATGGATGCAGGATATGAAGTAAATAGAGGATTTACATGGGCGCGCGGAGATACGGATTTTGAAAAGATCTCTCACGAGTGAGCGTAGCGAACGAGAGAGAGATTTTCAACACGAGAAGATAAAATTTGTATCTTCAAGCGACCATGTAATATTCTGTTTATCAAATAATTACATATGAAAGCAAATTATGTCGTAAAATGCCTTTTTTTACTTCCACTATATAGAGAAACCTCGTAATGGAGAAATATAGKTATTTTATAGATAACTATATGATAAATAATGATATTACAAACTTTTTATCGTACTTGAGTAGTATGAGTCGGTCGGAATAATCCATCACTTACCCATGTTACATTTCGGCCTTACAAACTCTTTCTAGAAATACMCGATGATTGAAATTGAAAATTAGGAAGTAAAAGAGTTAGTTATGCTTAATGTTTGCCATGTTAATTACATACCAGTGCGAAAGAAAAGCTGAGTGTTAATTGTTTCATTATTCCTCTAAGAGGCTTATGGAGAATGTATCCGGTGTATTCTCCTTTGAAGATCTTCCGCCTAAAATTATCGCCATCCTGAGTTAAACACGGCAAAAGCTTTTCGGTAAGAAAAATTTAGAAAATAAGATGATGGGACTTTGATGAGGCGAAATTTTGSTTGAAATAAACCTTTTAGCAGAAATTTGTTTATAGCCTTTTTCAGGGATAATCCAAACGAGAAAATTAATGGGGAGACGGCGCGGAAACTCCTTGAAAAAATCTAACATGTTGTAATTGACCTCCAAAAACATAGGTACAAGAATAAGTAAAATACGAATCATGGTTAAGGAGGAAAAAAAAACAAAGAAAAAAAAAAGAGCGAGTAAAAGTAAAGAAAAGAAATTTGACTAGATAAATATAGAACGCTGTTTTCTGTCAGGTAAGAAAAATATCGGAAAGATAAATAGAACCTAAGGAAACAAGAAAGTGAATTATTTATTTTTCTTTTAATTAAAAAAAAAAACACTATCAGAGAGGTAAAGTCACTCYGAGCGATTGTTCATCTTTATTGAATATTGATGGCGAATGATATATTTACCAACAGAGCCCAGTAATGGAAGCCAATACGTTTTTCTCAGTACATAAAGACTTTTATAGATATAGATTACGGTTTGTGACGAGATTGTTCTTATTTTTCAGTTAAGGAGTGAATATCAGCCATTAAATACCCAAAGTGATTTTGGTCGCCCATTCTCAAAATACTCCATAAGAGTGGTTCTTTCATTGATAACAGGTAAAACTGATAGATTACTTGCTGCATGTATATCAATATACAGCATTTTTGTTATTTGAAGAAAGTCTGGTCACTAGCTATAAATATAGAAGGATGTACATGACATATGACATCGATGATAATATTTATCATATAACTATCATCTATGAAATWCCAGTATTTCTCTCTTTCGAAAAATTATTTTCRTGAACACATTCGAGGTTTCTCTATATATTGTATAGATAAAAAGTGTATTTTACGACATAATTTGCTTTCATATATGATTATATGATCGATGAACAGAATATTACAATCCATCTTCTCGTGCTGAAAATCGCTCACTCCTTCGCTTTGCTCATTTTTTAGCAGTCGACAAAAGATAAAATACAATACAAAATAAATAATATTAGCGCAAATGACTGATACCACAATGATATCCATGACATTCTGAAAATTCAAGCTGAGAATGCCGAGAAAAGAAAAAGCTTTCTTGGTTTCAATGCGAAGGCTAAACATAGTCTTCGTCTTGTGGTACTAAGCCGATTTCGAGCACTTTCGTCACTTGAGGGGAGGCATTCTTGTGCGGCTCACCACTTTATAGACAACTGGCATGTGATGCACTCTTAAAAGTGACCGCTTTCTGTCCTTARACTAAACTGAACAATGATGAGTTGGTTGAACACTAAATTATCAAAGAGTCATCAAACAATAGCTAGGGCTTCAAAGCGAGTATTTTCCCAAGTATAGTATTGTTTTAAAGAAGCAATTTTCCTTTCCATGCCTTGTCTGCRGTTGAACGACTTGAACCGCGTTTGAATTAAAGTCTTAGTATACGGTTGTAAGTAAATATATTTAATAACCATGTCAAGTTTTTAGCTAGATGGACTGAAAGCTGACTTTTAGACACCATTATAGTTTTCACGACTCCCTCCACTCCCTAACCTGCAATGTTGTTGTACGTGATGTTATCATACTAAGGAATGATGAGATGATAAAGGTTAAAATACAAGTCTAGGTTTAACTCACTAGGCATTTTTTTGACCTTATGAAGAAATTATCTTCTTGACAGTGATAGTATACACGATAGGATGTATTTATCACGATAGCATGTATTTATCTGATGTTAAAAAAAGTTACTAAGATTTAAATAAGATGTTAAGATGGATATCAGAGATACTTTGAAAGTAAAATACTCATTAGGCAAAACCAAAAAATCGAAATCGAAGTTATAAAAAAATCTCATTTTCATCAGCTCAACATCAGCCATTTGACCATCTTTCTAGACTTAGCCACCCCCATTTGTAGAGCCCACCACTTAACACTAGAGTGCTGTCGAGAGAAAAGGCGTTTTATTTGACAAACGGKGTTGTGATCCGTTGCTCCCTAATGGACATGTTACTCAATTATAAAGATACATTATACGGTTCTTTATAAGATAACTCAAGTGATTGCCAAAAAACATAGAGCGGGCAATAACAACTAAGTTCTCTGTTTATTTCTTAGACTTGTGTGCCTTAATTGCAAGTATTTATTGCATTTTGACTCCGTGACTCATGCAATAAACTAAATGCAACTAGTGACAAACTATCGGCAGTACGAGCAATACTTTTTGTCTGTAAATCTGAGAAAAWTTCAATTCACCGTTTAATAATGTTAAAAAAGGGAAAATGTATATGGTAAAATTACCACAAGATTTCGACAGGTGAAAAAAATGGCAATTGCTTATATTATTCATCAAGATAAAATAAAAAAATAAAAAAAATAAAAAATGTAAAAAGTTACTTAAAATAAAAATTGGTAAATAACAACTTAATCAATATATAGGGTTTCCCTGTTTTAAACAAAATATTCGAGTAAACAAGCAATATAGTCGACAGGTGGTCGCTGTTGAACGTTAGCCCTAATTGAAGTAATGGAAGGAAAAGAAGCTGTTTCAATAATGCTCTAAAACGTATGGCAGATGAAAAGAACTTATGCTCCTCCTTAAATGTTAAAGTGGTTTTCATTGAACCGTGAAACACACTTTATAACCCTTTTATTTGCACTTTTTTCTTTTTGATTTGACTTTTATACCTCGGCTATTACACATTTTTCAAGGGTCAATTGGACTTTGTGAAATTGAAAAGGTACTGACAGCAAGTATGAAAATAGACCACTTACCGAAAACTGAACCTCACCACATGAAAGAATATACTACAGTWAGTGTTATTTTGAGTTTGAGTCTATTTGGTTGAATACCCACCGGGCAGAAATGTTTTTTGAATTTGGAAAACAAATTGAGAAATGTTTTCGCGGGCGCAGCTCAAAAGCTCCAGACAGTTGTTGTTGTTGTATTTTTACCCTTGCCGATCTGCAATTATTTTATCCAAATACCCTAAAACTATTGAGCTCCACTACCGTAATTTTAGTAATTTGCTCTTTCTTGTGATCGGATCCGTTTCTTGATTACTTTAAAGTCATCTTTTTATCTAGTAAAGAAGTGATCTATCAACAATTAATAACAAAAGAACTGATCACCCAATAGTTGAGGTGACRGTTTTGGCGACCATCTTGGACGAATAGGCAAAGTTTCGAAARWTAACAAGGATAGAGTGAGAAATCGATTTCAAATAATTCTCGCTGAACTCAAATTTGGAAAGAATTACAAATTCCAAACGTTGGATACTACAAAAAGGAGTTAACTGGCCAAATTTGAAGGACGTACTTCATCTAGGGAGCGAGTAATATATTTTTAGTTCTCAATACATTTTTTTTTTAAATTTGATAACGATTTCTCACTATATCCTTGTCATTTTGCGACACTTTGCCTACCCCTCAGTAGGGGTGCCAAAACCATCACTTCACTATTCACTCCAGTAAGATTTTCATTTTCGTTCTTGAATAAATCGCTGTATGCTGTATGCTGTAAGCGAGTCAGAAATTAAAGGGAAACAACCCMAAAATTGTCCTTTTTTGAGCTTGTTTATCTTTTTCCAACTATCAGGAAAAAAATTTCTATTGGTAAAAAAAGTCATTAAATTTTGACACGACTTGACACTATTTGTTCTGCAACACATATATTGCCCTCTTTGGTTTTAATTGCAAAACGCTTGGTCTGTTATGTGAACAAAACTGGGTGTTGTGCCATAAATCTTGTTCCGAGCAATGAAATACTATTAATACTATGGCTTTTTAAAATGAAGGTTAAAATAATCTAGAGAATAGTTTTATTGTAATATTAACAAAGAGCATTTTTATTAATCATGAATTTGTTATATATTGTCGCTTTTACTAATACTTGATACAAAATGTCTCTCTTTGTGGGAATCCRAAAAACTAAAGAAAAGAGCATGTCTAACTTAAGAGAAATTAACGCATTATGCATAGATTTAGGKCTGCGATATTGAGAAAATGGTCAGTGAAGTCAGGTAATTAGTTTTTTCCCTTGAAAATGGGTTCTATTCAGATTTAATTCATTTCTCTTTTCATCTATCTCTATATTTTTGAGACATAAAATGGTTGGTAYCTAGCCACCCCAACTAGACCCGGCGCTGTTCTACCATGACTCATAATGATCTTCAGCATCGCATTTCTATTGTTATGGTTATTGAAATTAATAATCAAATGTAAACATCGTTATGACTGCGCTTGGGATTCCTGTGGTATTGTGCTTCCAAAAGGCGTGGTCTCAACGGGAATTTAAACATGGCGGACACATTGTCAATATTTCATGGATAAAAACAGTCAAAATACAATTCCATACATAGTCGTGTTTACATTTTCACGAAGACATCATTAAACATCTTCCAGGTGAGCAAATTACAAAAAAAAAAAAGAAGAAGAAAAAAAAAGGAAATAGTAAAAATAATGAAACTTGAAAAACAAAGTTCATAATTATCGTATTGAAAGACATACAAATGATGTTTGTAATGAGAGTGTTTGTTGCAATCCATGGGTCTAAAACCAAAGGTCATTACTTTGATTACTTCTGCCTTCGGCAATCAGCATATTTACACAGGAAATAACTTAAACGACGTTTTGAGCGACTCTTTCACTCACCATTGTTCTTGATAAGACCAATTATCGGGTGAATTTTTTAATATAGCATTTGATATATAATAGCGCAAAGAGTGACACGCTTGATAGCATTGAAATACCTCTGATAAAAAAGTCCAGTTTGAATTCTAGAACACATTATCAACAGAGTGGAATGAATCATCGAAGAAAGTCACGCCGACTGTAGTTTTTCTTTATAGCCGTTTATGTACTTCCGGCTATTTTGTCGATAACACGATCTATGCAAAGCTAGTAAAGGAGTTGGCGATTATATATTAAGGTTTTTCGACCAACGGTGAATTGTCGAAGGTAAGGTCGCGATCGTTTGTAGCTAATGTARCTTAGCATCTAGAGTTGGTCATATTTATTCTGTTTAGTCTGTTAACAGTRCAATTTTTTGGTCACTCAATAACACAAGCATACTATGGGAATTGCTAAGTGCCTTTAAAGTCAATCTACAKTTTTCAACATTATAKGATAATTATTAATATTTTCTCCTATRAAAATCAAATTGTTGTGCTCACTGCTTTACAGTAACTCASTGGTTGTGTGTTGCAAGGACTACAAGCATGGCTTTGAACCTCATAAAACGCGAGTGTTGCCATTAGGTTTCATGCCAATTTTTTTTCCTTTAWATTATCTTGCTTTCTTGGTAAGCTAAAATTTTTAAACATCCTGATCGTGAAACTTCGGGGTATACSCTGTATACTTATGTATAATATGTAAAGCGCTGAATGAACCGTAAGTCCTGTAGGAAAAGGGGTAGGCTTGCGGGCGGCCGTAAGGAYAGAATTGAAACTACCTAAKAATGATATGCCTACGGGACACTAATCATGATACTGYCATTATCTTACGTCTGTAAGGTCAATGGTCGCCGACCTGCAGCCGCTTGTGCAAACGATGCATTTAAGAAGGCTATTAAACGATAAACAAGACAATTTGGTGTTAAAGACAGCACGTACTGAAGAGCCTTGGGTGAAAATGACCCTTGTGAATGACATGCAATACATTTGTCCTACAGKGAAAGCTTACATTATCACATCCACAGCATTGCTTTAGTGGCCGAAAATGTATTTTTGTATATCCGATCTTCCGTAAAACTTCCACAGAATGCCTTTGAGGAACCGCCCATCAGGTCCATCGAGTGAATGATTCGCATTTGTATAGAAAACAAAAYATGGATAGCATTTTGAACAGAATTAACTATTTTATGGTGATWTATCAGGATTGAGCTGACGATTTTTGTTCTTCTAAATAACTGTTCTTATGCGATTTTTTGCTGGTTATGGGATTCAGAATTGAGATACTATAACAAGCAATATTATTGTTAACCTTCCAAGTAACTGCCAACTTGGACGCAACACTCCATACAATTGARCAATTGACATGATCTATACTTCACTTTCACAGATATGATTTAGATCCTTTAGGCCCTCTGAAATGTTTTTTTTTTTGACTAGGAAAAAGTTTTTTTTTACGAAAAAAAACCCCCTTCGCCTGCCGGAAAAATCTTATAAATAAACAATAATCTTGCTGGTTGTCACTCGTTAGTCTAGCTGGGACATAAGAGCAGATATATTTCTGCCAGGAACACGTTGCCCCCTCCTAATRCAAGAGATTGTTGCTATTGTCTAGTTGTTTATTCACATCAAAAAGGTGCGATTTGATATTGTTATKCCATGTAAAAAGCAGATTTTATAGTCCATCCTACATATGTTGAAACGTCTTTAAAAGCAAATGTTCATTTCCATGCCGTTAGTCTAAAGATTTTTATCTTCTTTTTTCACGTCGGAAAAAAAGTCCAATACTATTCTTTATAGAAACTGCTTTTATTATAATTAAGGTCTAGTGTCCATATAATCTTCCAAATCTACCCAAAATATAGTTGGCATTGCTGTTCATTTTCTTGATGAAAGTGCAATAATGCAAAGACGCCGTATTTTTGGGACGATTCGGATGATTGTATGRACACTAGGCATAAGAGATCTTTCTAAATCTTCGAGGTGGATCTCTRAGTTCGCGCCCCGAGGCGAACGATTAAGTTACAATTCTTGAAACATGACGTCTGATAACATTCCTAAAAAAAACGGAGAAAGAATCTTCAAAGACCGATCCGAAACATATTGACGTGCACAAACCACATGCGTTAACGTTGTTGAAAACTGGAAACATATGGTTGATTAGATATATATGTTTACTAAAGTTATAAACATTCACTAATATCGATAAACGTTTAGGAATGCCACGCGGAATTTCTGACGGTGTGGTAGAATGCCCTTGGAGAGTAGCAATCGTTTTGAAAATCAATGGAAATGTACTCAGTTGGCTTTTGTTAAGCTACTCAATCATCCCAAAAATCATAAACTTACATATAAAAATTGGCTAAAAACCTAATAGCGAAGCTTTGATACAAAAMGGGGATTGTCAGTCATGCAATTCAGCCTTAGGCTTCGATATGATTTTATCAATAAAGGCATATATCTATCTGATGTTGTCTTTCCCCTGGATTTCATTATGTTGGAGGTCAAAAAACTCGTGAAATAGATATTACATTGATACAACACCTTTTGTAGTAAGCTCTACTGAATTACAGTACATTTTCTTTTGTGTCTATATGACTACCACACTAAAGTCAATCTTTTCAATCCAACAGGATTAATAATATAATGATTTCAGTATAATCCATGAAACAAAGCGCAATAGGCAAAAAAAACAAATAAACAAACAAACAAACTAAAAAAAAACTACAAAAAAAAACAAAACACAAAACAATAGTACACTAAAGGCCAGTTTACACTTGCAATTTTTACAGCTCACTATGTTATCGCACAACTCAAATCGTACGTGTAAACAACCCTGCATTCGCCGCGAAATAGCAGCTGKSYCTGTTCTTCTGAATAACTGTTCTTGTATGAATCTTTTTCCTGGGAACGCGATTTTGACCTACATTGTTGACAATCTGACAAGGAATTGTGACGCACTTCCTTCTTTAAAATAATGTTGTTCTTGTCAAACGTTTTTTGGAAAAAATCGGTTTATATTTTTTTAGTTAGGAAATTCTCATTTTCCTGGAAAAAGTTCTTAGAAAGTATTTCTTGCCTGGAGAGTTCTTTTTTCCTGAATTTCTCACTGCCAACCCAGTTATGACTTACAGCTGGATGGGACAGATATATTGGCTCCCATGAACCTGTCGGCTCCTCCGCGATGGTCGCGCGACAATCGCGCTGCAAAATTGTGTAAACTGGCCTTAAGAAATGATAAAGTGTAGTATATTAAAGTATATTTCTCAGGTATATGGAAGCTGCAATTATACTATTTCAATGATAAGCCGTATTTCGAGGAATAAAAACTTGGATTCTGTGTCTGTTTCCAAAATTCCCATTTAATGTTTACAAGGAAGTGTGAAACGATAATTTTATGGAACAAAAAAAAAAGTCTTTTAGTGATAATTCTTCATCTAGAGTGTTTTACGCCATTACTTAACATTAAAAAGAAACAACTTGTAAACTAAGGTAATATTGAAAAATACCATGCACATAAGAAAGACCGCACAAAGCTKAATTAAACTGTTTTCCTTTTTTCTATTCGTATTTTTGTTAAATATTGGCTGTAAAACGCTTGGAAATGAATTGTTTTTACTTTAACAAACTAAGTTTTCGTGCATTGACAACGCGTAGGAGTGAATATTAATTAACTATCGGCGGGGATCTTTCTAACGTTTTGACATCGGCTTTTTCTTGGTTATTTAAATTGGTTATATTACAGATTTTGACGATATGAAAGCATAWAAGTCCACTTCAGTATTTTGCCTCCATTTTCGTTTCTTTTTTTACTAATGGCATGGTGTATGGGTTTCCTGTGGTGCTGCACAGACGAAAGGAAACGGTGCGTACTCAACTAAGCCCTGTGTTCGTCCATGAAATATCTACTCAATGGATTTCTACTTTTTCTTTTTAGTCAAGGTAATCTGCTTGTGCGGTCCTGCAATGAATTTCACTATATTTCCATCATAAAATTTTTCACTCTGTAAGTGTAAAATTCATCTTCCAGCATTTAATTTTTAATTTTTAATAATTAATTTTTCGTTCGTTCATTCAATCGATTATTTACTATTTATTGATTTTACTGATTCTTTACGAATTTTAATAAAATATATATATAGAAAAATAAATAAATAAAAAAAATATATACAAAAATGAAAAAAAAAAATAAAAAAAATATCAAACAGCAATTAGCAGTTTGACCCGAGGTATCCACAAAAAGTAACAAGCCCCCCAAAACGTTGTCAATTATTAATGAGACGGCATTTTTGATTGAACTTCCTTTTTGGAGATCAAAAAGTGCTTATAATGTTTCGAAAATTGTTTTTCTATRGCAGGGGACTCGAGATCCCCAACAAAGACCTGACATCATAAAACTGTTATCAGTAGGTTATCTGACGGTTCTTGTTTGAAGCTCTCCTCTTAGAGACCAAATAGCTCCATGTAAGTCTTCAAAAGAAATCCTTTTCCTATCTCAGGGGATTTTCGTTGAACCAAGCAATCTTATTATCATCATTTCATGTTGTGATCTTCAGACAATCTGTCTGTTCTGACATCATTTTGCGGCTTTTAACCAATGAGAAAATATCGCGATCGGTGAATTTATGAATTTTTAAAGCAAATAATTTTCTAACGGATGAAATGTTTTTCCTTTTGACWAAGACGAAAACCAGTTAATTGCGATTTTTTATTTTTAWTTCGGAAGATAATTTGATTGTTTTTTAACTCTTACATTCAAACATCCTGTTCTTCTACCGACTTATCCTTGATYAAGAAGTTCTAGTCGCTTATTACGGTAAAGATGTGAGGACTGAGAACACGATGGTGTCGGTATTTGACTGACATCGAGGCGGATAGCAATTAAAAACCGTATTGATATCTATATAAATGCACCTTAAAGTTTATCATTTTTAAACAATACCCGCCGAYGGGGATGTGACCTTGCCAATTAACGCATGATTTTTGTACGTGAGAACAGATAGTTACTCATCTATAGCTGGACAAAACAAAGTTATCTTTCATTGACTAATGTATGGTAAGACATRACAATGATCACATTTTCTAGAACATTCAATCATAACTTAGTGACAAAACAGTGAGTCAATTTTACCTTGCGAACAGACCGCATCACACAGTTGTGTGTGTTCCTATTTTTTTTTCAATTGTTTTGTTTCGTGCAACTTGTTTCGCAAAAAAAATCGCTGCAAGTTGCACGGGCGTTTTTCCGCGGACGACATTCCCTCCTTCAACTACCCCTGAAGCAGAGGA